TACAACATTTACAGCCCTCCCCAGCATGGGCTGGTCACACCTGCAGCTCGTTGTGCCGTGAATGAATATGTTTTGATTTGTTTTTACATGAATAGAAGTGAGAATAATTTCAAGCTCAGGCAGGTACAATGCAGCCTTCATTTTACTATAAACAATGACTCGGCTTAATTAATGAAGCAGCGAGAAGGTGCTCTGGGAAAGCAGCCGTAAATGGAAGCTGACACTTCTTGTGCATTTGCTCAGTGAGAGAAATACTAAGATGGTTGCAGCGTTAAAAAGGCCACCTAAAATCTATTTAACCTCTCTGGAATTCAGATAGCCAAACCCAATCAAATATCTTCTAAGTCTAAAGAGAGAAATAAGCTTCCTTTGGTCAATATCTTAAATTAAATAATGTCTCAATACAACTTTAATCACCTTAAATACTCCTATTAACTTAACCTGTTTATTAGCGCCTGTTATTGTCATTTTAACATAGCTCTGATTGGCAGACCTCCCTAACAAGTGTGTAAATCCCTTCAGTTAGCAGCCGGGCAGCAATTCGATTTGGATCAATCATTTGGATCAGAGAGGCAGCGGTGAGAAGCTTTTCTTTTTTAAAACCCTCTGCGCTCAGCTAGATTTTACAGAGTTTCCCATTTAAGAATCAGATATCCACAATTTAAAAAACATGAACACAGGAGATTAAATAGGTCTGCAAGTAACTAATTATTTTCATTAGCGATTCATTTCTTAATTACTTGATTAATTATTTAGTGTATAAAATGTACATAAAATGGGAAAATGCCGACACAGTTTCCTAAAGAACAAGTTGAGGTTGACCAATGGTTTTCAGTTTACTGTCACAATGTAGAAAGAAAAGATGGAAATCCTCACAGCTGAGGTGGTGTGACCAGTGATCGTGGCAGTAGGGATGGCAGTGATGGTCCAAACTCAAATATCTCAACAACTATTGGATAGCATGCCATGAAATTTCCCCTCAGGTTGAATTTTAATACCTTTTTTTTTTAATCACTTTTCTTCTTGTGCCAACATTTTGATTTGTGACCAAATACCTGCAAAGTGCTTCCTTAGAACTTCATAAAACTCCAACAACTCCGTTTCAGCATATTTCTAACGTATATCAAACCACGTCGGAGCATATAAGCCCCGCCCTCGCTGTTGCAGAGCGGAGCGGCTCGTGCTGTACTGTGGCTCAGGAGGTAGAGCGGGCAACCTCAATCCCCGGCTCCTCCAGGCTGCATGTCGAACTGTCCTTGGGCAAGATTGAACCCCGAATTGCCCCCGGTGGCTGTTCCACCAGTGTATGAATGTGTGTGAATGGTGAATGCAGATGGGAGTGTAAAAGCGCTCTGAGTGGTCGAAAAGACTAGAAAGGCGCTACACAAATACAAATTTACATTTACATAACCAAACATCCGCCACGTTTGAGGTCGTTTGGATGAATGGTTCTCGACATAATCAAAATACAGATTCCTACCTTTATAAGAGAGATGATTGATTGTGTTTGGGCGTCAAATGAGAAGCTTTGTTTTACTTCCATTAAAAAAAAAAGAACAAAAAAGCTGTACAAATAAAATATCTTTCTTAATGGAGCCCAAAGCGTCCACACGGATAAAATATCCATACTTGGCAATTGGATTTTGGTCAACTGTGGATTTAAACCCTGAACCTTCTGATCCAAAGAGTAGGTGGCTTACAGGTGAGAGTTGGTTTCTATTCACCTTCTCACAAGTTGAGGAAATGGAATCACATGTCTTAGGCTGATAGGATTTATTATCAATTCTTTAAACAGTCAAAATGTTGGTGATGAAATTCTGGGGGAAAAAATCACACATCATTCTGCTGGTTTTGGGTGTATTGTGAATTATTTAGCTTCAAAAGTATTTTACTTTAAAAATGTAGTTGATTGTTATAGCGCCACAATGAGGTCAATGAGTGCCATATTATTGTATATTATATATATGTATACACTATTGGGTGGAATTTGCAACCCACCTGCCAACTTTGGTGAGTTTTTGTCCAGCAGTTTTTCACTGCATTTTTTGCGAAAAAGAAGAAAGAATTATGAGAACAAAAAGATTATTATTGTTACCCACTATCTTATCCCTAACAAAATGTTATGCTTTGTTTCTGCTGACTGCTTTGAATCATTTTCTCTGTTGTGGATTTGTATTCCAATCCAATCTACCTATAATTCGTCCGCAAACCATACGTACTGGGACGTTCCCAGTGGCCAATATTTGAAAGCTCCCAGGTGGAAATATTGAAGAGGCAGAGCGAGCTCGTGCACGGTCAGCAGCATACCTTTACTCAATAAAAAATAAATAAATTGTGTTCTCCTGAGCCTCAGCACACGTTTTAAACGTGATTATAGCAGTGAAAGAAGTCGGACTAAATAAAAATCAATCGGAACACGTGCACTCGTGTAACCTTGATTAATCCACACATTTATCCTGCATTCAGGCTGTAAGTGGGCAAAAAATGTAGAGGCAACAATCGGTACAAATTAAGATAAAGAGCCGTTTACTTCAAATGTGCTGATGCTGAGATGCAGATCTATAAGCAGGACTCTGTCCAGGATACCAGAATCTCCAGCTCCACAATTTACAGTATGAAAAGTTGGTTCTTTAAAGAAAGTTAGAGTGAATTTATTGCTGAAAAACCCAGTGCCGAAGCATATTTAAACCTTTCTGCATGCTAAAAATAAAAAACAATGTTCAAGTGCAGTTTCAACAGATCTACACCGTCTCATATTACAGCAACATTATGTAAGATGGGGTTTTTTTGGCTCCTCTGCCGTTTCAGAGTGTAGTTCCCCGCTGTCATAAATAAGGACAGCTGCACTCGTGCATTTGTGATGAGTACATTGCACTCAAACACTAGCAAGTCGCCAACTTTGCTAACAGCTAAGCTATAATAGTCCAACAGAAAGAAAGCCGTCCTGCTGCATTTTACGTCACGAAGCTCTCGCCAACGTCCAGCAGCTTCTTGCTTGGTCACTGTCTTTTTTTCTTCTTAGCTTCCTCCGTCAGCGTCCTCTTCTGTCTCTTCTCCTCTGCCATTAGCTAACATTAAGTCCACAGAGGCTGCTGAGCCCGGTGATGTTGCTCTCCCCTGCAGGGGCTGGCTCAAATTGTGGCATCGGCGGCTACCGGTGGTATTTTCCGGTGCCAGCTTGAGATGCGGCAGCACCTAAACACTAAGTACAGCTGAGGCTGATGGGAATGTCTTTAGCTTTGCCAGGTATTTGGTCACAAACCAAAGTATTGGACAAACTGAAATATTGACCTGCAAGAGGAAAAGTTATCAAAAAAGGTATTTTAATTGTGTGTAACAAATTTCGTGGTAATAAATAGTTGTTGAGACCTTTCAGGCCGGACCAACAGAGCGACGCTGCCAACCCGAGTGCCACAAAACACTCGCTGGTCCCACCGTCTCAGCGGTGAGGATTTGCATCTTTTCACAGTAAACTGAAAACCTTGGACCTCAGCTCGGGTTTTAGGAAACTGTGTTGCCATTTTCCAATTTTGTTTATTGGCCTTTTTAACGCTGCAACTATCTTAGTATTTCTCTCACTGAGCAAATGTGTCAGCTTCCATTTACGGCTGCTTTCCCAGAGCACCTTCTCTCTGCCTCATTAATTAAGCCGAGTCAGTGTTTATAGTAAAATGAAGGCTGCATTGTACCTGCCTGAGCTTGAAATTATTCTCACTTCTATTCATGTAAAAACAAATCAAAACATATTCATTCACGGCACAACGAGCTGCAGGTCTGACTCCGAGGGCTCCTGCAGAACTCTTTCAGAATGAAAACAAAGCTGCAAGTGAACAGGCAAGCTACTCATGTTCATTAATTAAACAAAAAAGTTCTGTTTCACTCCTCAGGTCTTAATGAAATTCAAAGGGGTAGGTCACACACCCAACTAGGTTTAATTGGCAGAAGCTTTACTACAGGACTTGTGTCACAAGACTGAGGTTAGAAAACTAATTTGCGTTTAAAAAAAGATTTTGCTTTGAAAGTATATTTATCAGAGATATTATCATAGGGTGACTGAGAGCACGTCAGCATCAGAGCTAAGTGAAACAGCAGCTCAGAGTAGATTGTAGTTTCAAGTATAATAGAGTGTAATAAAAACAGTGAGTACCTGAAAGTTAAAAAGGTTCAATCTGTGATTCATATGTACAGGGTGCCAATTATACAGTGACAACCGGGGGGGTCAACTTTTTTCCAGGTCATAAAGAAAACTCTACAATAACCAATCCCCAATTTCACTGCTCATACCTAAGCGCCAGTGTTGGCTGATAATTACATAAAATTTTAAATTACATGGTGAAATTACATGAAATGACAGGGTGGGCTCTCAGCTCATTTAAAGCAAAATAAATGATAATTACGACACTCTGAAGGTAGGAGAGTTAAGCGTATTAAAGCAGCTGGATAGCTCACTACTGACATTAACCTGCAGCGGAGCAGCTGCGAGTGATGCAGACGGACAAGATGTTCAACTAACGTCAATGTTGGGAAATGGTACAGTCCATTTTAGGGGTGTTGGAAATCGTATTTCTACATTCTTAAATATAAATGTAAGACATGAGTATGGAAATATATTGTAATATTTACAATTACAGGTAAGAAAACCCCCCCTGAACTGTTGTTTTTGCCCCTTTTGGGGGGGGTCCAAGCCTTAACTGGGGGGGTCAGACCCCACCAATCCCCCCGTAATTCGAACCATGCATGTAAATAAAACAGTTGCCCCAACAGCAAATGAGGCAGTATGTAATGAACGGCATGTTAAGGAAGCAGAGTAAATCTCAAAATCTCAAAATTGACCATGAAAAAAACAATGTTTTTGTCTCGCCTTAAAATACTGATTACTTTTAAAAAGTTAGATTATCTAAATGTTTCACCAAAAACTGCTCTTTTATTTGAAGTTCTAGAAATGTTTTACCTCAGTTATTAAAAATCACTGTGCTCGAGCTTTATGTTGTCCTACTCACCACGTCTAAGAAGGTGTTCTCCAGGGATCTGTACTCGGAAGACGTCTTGTTGAAGAGGTCCTCGGAGAAGTTCAAGTTGGTGACGCGCAGGCTGAAGAACACCACCAGCTCCCTGCCCTGGGTGGCCGTGGTCATGGAAGGTGTGGTCAGGTATCTCACCGGAGGCGGGGCGGTGACGCCGACAGTTGTGCGTTCCTCAGCCACAGGTAGGGAACCACTCGCCTCGTCCGGCAGCTCGTTTGCCTCTGTGGCCGTTACGTCCGTTTGATCCAACTCCACCGCCAGGTCCTTCACAGCCTCGTCAACGGCGTCTTCAGCAGCTGTCGGTGGGTTGGTTTGGCTTTCGCCTCCTTTCTGCACTGCCTTTTCCAAGTCTTCATCGATAATGACAACAGCTGGCTCACTTTGCTCCGACTCTGCCTCTGGCTCTGTGCTATCATCCTCTGAAGACTCGGGATCGGAGGGGATTACAGATTGCTCCGCTACCTCAAAGAGTCCAGAGTCTATAGTTAGGCCGGGTGAGGACACTTCAAACGCATCCGTAGAAGTAGCCGGAGGTGTAGGGAAGAAGTCTGAATCCGGTGCTGCTGTTACACTGATGTCTCTTTCCTGTGTCTCCTCCGGCAAGTCCTCTATGACTTCAGAGTCCTCTGATGTGTCGTGCCTGTCTGGAGCCGTCACCTCTTTGAAATGTCGGGCAAAAAGGCTGAATTAAGTCAAGAGCGCTCACAAAGGATTTCCACAAATTACAAAAATGTGCCTGCTGAGTGAAGTATATATTATACATTTAAACTGCTTCATGCTGAATTTTCAGTTTGAATTCCCCACTTCTGCGCTGATCCAAAATATTATTTCTTACAGTATCTGAAGTGATCCAAGAAATCCACTCTGATAATCAAAAAACAATCAAAGGCACAGTGTGTATCGCTGTGCAATATATTTCGTACTGAACAAGAAACGAAGAGTCAAATGGCTTGCGTTTGCTGTATTTCAAATAAACAAGGGAGATCACGTTTCAGCAGGCGCACAGCCCTAAAAATCTAATATTAATTTGTCAAAGGATTTTTAATTATGCTGTAATTTAAATGAACAACTCTATTAACATAATTAACTTCCTTTAATCACACATTTCATTTGCATAGCAACTAATGTCTGTTCCTCACCTGCAATATCAGAGGTTGTTTCAAATGGCAGATCACCCTTTGATGTTTCTGAGCTCTTGACGGCACCAGTGTCACTCTCCACTTGTGCGTCTACACCATCAACCTCCTCCTCAATGTAAAAGTCATCAATGATGGTATATTCGTGGTCGGGTTCGCCTACATCTTCTTCAGAAGGTTGGATGTCTATTGGTATGTTGGATAAGTTATCTTCCTCATTTGGCCGGTGATAGTCCGGTCTGACCGGTGGAAGGAACTCGTTATCTTCAACAGAATCCTCTCCAAAGTGAAGATCTCCCCTGCCGTCCAAGGGGCGAAGGATTTTAATTGATTCGGCTGGCGGCTCCTCTGGTTCTGGGACGTCAACTACTACTTCCTCTTCCGATTCTGGTTCGGAAACCCCGGGTAAGTCTTCTGCTGGTGGTAAAACATGATCTGCGCCTTCAACTGGTTCTGATGCTGGCACTGGATTCTCAACTACCTCCTCTTGTTTTTCATCAAAAACATCAGCTCCCTCTTTTCCAGCTTCTGGTGGAGGTTGCGGTTCCAGAATGTCCATAGGTTCTTTCTCCAGTACTGGAACTGCAACCATGTCTTCCACTAATTGTACATCCTCCTCTGGTTGTAGTACATCTGGTACTTCTGCTACATCTTTCCCTGGTTGTGGCGCTATCTCTACAACCTCTACCACTTCTTCACTTGGTTCTGAAACCTTTTCTGGTTCCTCCTCTGATTCTGCAGCCTTAACTACCCCATCTTCTGGTTCTGTCACTTTAGTTACATGCCCTTCCTGTTCTGGCCCTGATTCTGGTTCAGGTGCTGGTTCTAATACGTCAACCACACCTTCACCTGGCTCTGGAGTTTCAACAACGTCTTCTACTTTGGAAATCTCCACCACTTCCTCCTGTGATTCTACAACCTCATCCTCTAGTTCTGGAACCTCAGTGACCTCCTCTTCTACAGGTTTCACATCAACTGCTTCCTTCTCCACTACCTCTGCTTCCAGTTCAGGAACTTCAGGTACTGTTTTCTCAGGAGCTTCAGGTTGTCTTTCTTCGGGAACTTCAGGTACCGTTTCCTCGGAAACTTCAGGTACTCTTTCCTCTGGAACTTCAGGTGCTGTTTCCTCGGAAATGTCAGGCGTTGTTTCCTCTGAGACTTCAGGAACTATTTCTTCTGATCTTCCAGGACCAACCATCTCGTCTTCTTGTTCCGTAAACTCATCTACATCCCTACCGAGTTCTGACTCTTCCTCTGCTTCTGCTTCTTCTGAAACCTCTTCATCTTTCTCAGGTTGTGGAACAGGATATGTCACCTCAAACAGACCTTCCTCTATTACCTCTCCTGGAATTTCCTTTTCTAGTTGCAAAACATCTACTCCCTCTTCCAAGCCTTCTTCTTTAAAAAGCTCAACTGCACTATCGTCCGGTTCTTCCTCTGGTTTGGATCCTTTTGTCTCTAAAACCTCAACTGGTTCTGAAACTTTGTCAAGCTCCTTTCCCTCTATTTCTTCTGGTTCTGAAGCTACCACCTCTTCTTGATTTTCTACCACTGACTCTTCCTCTGGCTCTGAAACTTCCTCGACTTCTTCCTCTGGCTCTGAAACTTCCTCGACTTCTTCCTCTGGCTCTGAAACTTCTTCTATATCAGGATCTTTTCCATAATTCCATTCCCATGTTTCAGTAACTTCAAATTGTTCAGGTGTTGGCTGCAAAACCCCGAGCACTTCTTCATCGGGTTCCACCACTAACTCTCGCTCTGGTTCCAAATATTCAACTTCAGTTTCCCAATCTGAAACATCTTGCACCTCTGGTTTCAAAACCTCAGCGAGGTCGTGAGGTTCAAGGACACCCAGATCAGCTCCTTCCTCATCCGGAAGGGCATTAACTTCTTCGTCTTCTTCAAGGTTCACAATTTGCTCAGTGGGCGGTTGGCCTGTGATGCCTGAAAGTGTTGTGATTGGGAGTCCCAAATCAGACAGCTCCTCTCCAGCAGGGGCAGTAGTTAATACAATCTGTCTGGTGGGGGTAACGACATCAATGCTTGGATTCCCACCGTCCTCCTCAACAGGGGTCAGGTCTTCCTCTGATATCTGGTTAGGAGACAGACTGCCATATGGAGCATCTGTCTCCTGCTCTAGAATCGCAGGAGTGGTCGGAGTGTAGTCTCTCACAAGTTCACCAGTTTCGTCGTGATGAATGGTTTTAATCTCATGTGTAATGATCAGCAATTCTTCTTCCTCCCCTTCTTCATTTGATGGTTCGGGCTCACTCACATAAGTTGCCTCTGACTCATCAGTCATATCCTTTGGGGCCGGGGAGTGATCGCTGCTTTCTGACATCCCACCAGTCACCGCCGTCATCTCATCATCTGGGATAGCCGTGGGATCTAGCAGGGTCACAAGGGCATTTTCCTTCTCCATGGGCGTGAGGGGAACCACCAGCCGGGGTTTATCGACTTCAGGCTCATCAGTGAAAACTTCAAACTCGTTGTGTGAATCAGGCTCACTGGGCTGCGGACAGATGGATGTATGACATGATTAATGCAAAAAAAAAAGTTTCAATTTTTCATGTGCAAGTAACATTGCATTTGATGTTCTGTTACGCTGAGTATTCCAAAACCTTAACTTATATATGGGATATATTTAAATCATTATCACTTTATGTTATGGGTCCATTTGTTTGGTTACAATTTCTTAAGTGAATTATGAAAAAAAAGCAGAAAAAATATTGATGTGTAAGGATTTTATAGCATAGTTTTTTGTGCATGTACATTGTACAGGTGTCCAGAGGGAGTATTTGACACTACATAAAAAATACTAATGCAATCTAATAAATTTTGTTGGTAATCTTTGACGCATCGAAGACTGTAATCATCACCAAAGCCCCATCCCCCTACTATTTATTTAAATAATGAAATTTTTGTGGGTTTTTTTGCAATAAATAATGCAATAATTAAAATAAATAAACTGGCATTTAAAGGGTTTAAATCCCGAAAATTATTAAACGTTTGGTGATTTTGAGTAGGGGAGAAGTTGTTTAATTGATTTATGAAAAAAAAGCACAAATAAAAATGGATGTATGAGGACTTTATAGCAGTTTTTTGTGCGTGTACACTTTTGCAACAAAAAGGTGTCCAGAGGGTGCAAAAGTGTTAAAATGAGCCAATGTTTTTTTTTTCTAACTATATATATTTTATGAAGGAATTGGTACACTTACAATTTATTAGGTCCAATTGATTGCTCACATAACCAATATTCATTTATTCAGTGCACAACGGGTCAAGTGAATATTCCAAAACGTCAAATCTGTCTGCAAGCAAGCGTACAATTTATGGATGGGATGGATAAGGTTTCCAAAAATGTTATCACATTAACTTAAATTTTAAATACATATTTGTTCAGTATATTTTAGAAGTTTTTTCAACATTTGCTCATAAACACTCGCAGAACATTGTCTCTATTTTACCTGTAACTACAACCAAACAACAACCTGCATTGTTCCTTCCAAAAAACTTACTGGGAAATTATAAGGAAAATATAGTACTTGTAAAATAACACATTACCATTCTTTCACTGTTTGTTGTACATGAAATTAAATGCAAACACCAAATCTGCAGCTCTACGTTTTATAGTATTATTTGAGCTCGTTGTTTTTTCAGGTTTTACAGAACACATTTAAAACAAGATGATATCATGTTTTTATTCCTTTTATCTGCTTTTTTTGTGTATTTAGAATATTGTTTTAACTTTACCTTAATCTTGTCTTGCTTTGTTTGGCGCCTGTTGTTATACTACCCGCTGAGTATCCAGCTTTTGATTGAAAACTCTAAGGGTCTAAGGAAAAAGAGTGGCGTGTGCTGCACACAGATTTTAAAGTCCATTGGGGCAGAATTGTGATGTATAAATAAAACTTGCTTGACGTCTTAGGCTGCACATAGACAGTATGGTTAAGTTCTTTAGACTCTCACCATCCCCGTCCATAAAAAACCAAAGCAGATGTTTACTCGAAACAAAACAAGCTGTGATTAAAACCCACTTTGCCCAGCATCAAATGTCAGACGGGCAAAGTTAGGAGAAAGTGGAAGTGCTTAAAGTGGTCATTTTATACTCATTTTCAGGTTCAGCATTTTATTTAGGGGTTGTTCCAGAACAGGTTTACATGGTTTCATTTTCAGGAAGCGGCTGGACTACTTTCAGCCAGTTCAGAGCAGAGTTTTCTGTGGGAGATGGGAACTCCCTTTGGGCTGGACTTTGGGCTTTTTCACTTTGCAAACCTGTTACATGCACAAAAAAGGTTTATAACTCAATTATGGAAAGGGAAAAGACAAAAAGCAGAATATGACCTCTTTAAAAGGAGAAAGTATATTAGATTTCCACTCATCAGGTGGACACACCACTCCAGTGAGATGATCATGTTGCTCGGTGTCTGCTGGTTGTGTAAGCGCTTGTGTTCCCGCTTCAGTCAACTAACAGATACAAATTCTCCTTAATTAATACCATCTGCTATTTCTCTGCTCAACTCTACGAAGAATAGGAAAGATCTGCACATATGGCACATTGAACGTTTTATTGTTTTACATGTTTTTTTATGTTCTTATTCTTATACCCGTATGTCTCACCCTATATTGCGGTTGTGTTTTATCTAATTTTATTGCTACTGCAGCACAAACAATTGCACCTTAGGGACAAATAAAGGTCTCGAATTGAATTAAATTGAACTGAGGCAGTTGTTTGCTAATTTGTTAGCCATAAACACTTTATAGGATAATAATATATGAGGCTGCATTTCTCTGGGTTTGTTTAGACAGCTCCCTGCCCCCTAGGAGTCAAAAGTAAATTACTGGATTATTATACCACAGGCTACATTCACATAATATTTTCTTAATTATTATTCTCTATAATGACAACTACTGCAAAATAAACAAACTGCTGTATATCTAAATATCCTCCTCTCCTAGATTAATTAGAAAACCTCTTACCTCAATCACTACTTCTACTGAAGAGGTCGATGTCAGTGCTGGTAGGCGGTTTGCCGCTGTCAAAAAGAAAGTAGGACAACGCATTTTTATACTTGAGATACATGAGTGGGATAAAACAAATGAACCATTTCCCACCAGCTTGCTATAGTGAGCCGTTTCAGATATACGAGGCGAACCCATTTCCTTTACTGTATTTTACATTTAGTATTGATGAGTGAGATTTAGCACTTTACCTGGTTCGAAGTTCAGCGAGTCCAGATCAATTGGCAGCGAGGCGTCCTCGCGTAAAGCCTTGGTCACGATTTCCCTGAGGCCGGCGTTGACGACTGATGACGACCCCGGGGTGCCTGTCGCCGTCTCTGAATTCTCAGAGTTAATTTTAGGTGAATTAATCTCAAAGACGAGGGAGTAGTGCACCGAGATTCCTCCAGGCCTGAAAAGGAGATATTATTATCTCTCTGATTCGGAGTCGGTTGCTCTGATTCTTCACACCAACTGTATTGATCAACTAATCTATATCAACCCTCTCTGCAGATACAGACCTACTGTTATGGTGATTTTGTGCTTTTGGCTAGAGACAATCAATAAATAAAGCCTAATTTGTCAGTGTCACAAGTCCAGACAATGTTAATAAGTGTAGATTAAAAGGGATACTGAGTCTTAACGTGAGCTGCAGAGAGAAGACCACAGTTTAACAACCAGCAGGTGAAAAACGCAGGTAATGAAAAGTCACGCGGTGCTGCAGTAAAGTGATGCCCATTCAGGATGCCAGGCATGAATATCTGTAGCCATATATCGTAATAAAAGAGAGCGCATCAAAGCTTCATCAACATTCTGCACAGCTTTTATCATCAAGAGAGAATAAACTGATTTGCTGAGATGTGACTCTGATTAGAATGGTAATGATGTGAATTTCCTTTGCTTATGTGAGAACTGTTGTCTGCCAAACAAAAGCACTTCTTCATTAATTTCTAGTGGTTGGTTCTGCGTCTGAAACATCCACCGCATCACTTTATTCCAAACTCAGACAGCTCTTTGTCTGGAGTGGATCTGATCTGTTAGCACACACTTTGTGTGCTCTCTAAATTAAATCCTGAATTATCACTAACTTTTTATCCATTTTAAACTTTCTTCATGAGATATTTCCTGATGTTTTGGACATTTGCTTCTGTGTGCTGTTGCCTTGTGTAAGTCACTTTAAAGGGTAGTGTTTGTCTACGCCTACTTCTTGCTATTAAATGCGCCCCACCTTTTGCCAATCATGCTGTCACCCGGACAGCCCGTTCTCACTCCCCGACTCCTCACGTATGGACGCATTGGTCAAGACCCATCGGTGTCAGTTTGTAACGCACTGGTGATCGCTATGCAGTGGGGGAAGCCCTGTACTGTCAGTTTTTGACGGTATGATATTTAACAGAAAACATTGAGTGAGGAGGAGGAGGAGGAGGTGGTGGATGGAGGGTTCGTGTCCCGTGTAAAACAAAAAGTCAACATTGAATATATATAAGTTGAGGAAGTGACTTAGGTTAACTTACCTGTTAACTGGTTATTTTAACCCAAACCATGATCTTTTCCTAACCTTAACCAAGTAGTTTTATTGCCTAAACCCAACCAAATAGCAACGTTTCAAGACTTTAATAATGTTTAGTGTTTTCAACATGTTTTTAAAACGCAAGAGTTTTATTTTGAAAGTCTAACCGGACATGGTATATCTGTTGTTGCTAAGCGTTGCTAACTTGACCGAGGAGCCTTAAATGTCTGAAAATGCTTCTAAACAGGTACCCAGGGCGTTAAAAAGCGACGGCAAAGGGCCTTGACCAAGTGTCAATATGTGACGAGTCTGGAGAGAGGACGTGTTGACCCGGAAAATATTCCAAGCATCTAAGTCAAACTTTTCTTTGTCCTTATTTTTCTCTCACGGAGGCACGTAGGTGTAACCCACCTTTTTTACTTTTCAAGGAGAGAAAATTTGCCTTGAACTATTCTTCAGGGGAGAGCAGCCTTCCTGAATACAAGTTCAGTTTTAATCTTTCCCTTTTGTCTTTGTATCTGTACTCGTTGGTATCAAAGAAGTCTTCTCTTATCTGATGTACAAAGCAGCACTCCTTGGCTTTTCCCCTAGCTCTTTATCTCGTTTTAAAAACCCTCCTTCTCCTTGATGATGTCCTCACCTCCATGCTCTACTAATTAACTGTGGCAGACAGTCACAAAACCACAGAAAGTCAATAACTCTGCAGCGTTAAGGAATTCTTATTTCAGCTAATAGTTTTAGTTCCTGTCTGGTTCTGTTTCCAGCGGCAGCCAGCAGCTCTGTTTTCATCAAACAAGCTCTGATAAACCCATCGTACACGACCTGCTCGGCACCAAACAGCAGACACACACAGTTAGAGGCTAGCTGCTGAACATTGTGGAGCATTCAGCAGCTAAAGAGGCAGATATTTGCCTCAGGAGCTGGTGGAGACCAAACACAGAGCTAAAAGGAGAGTGATTATTAGACTTTAGCCTTGCACTTTACATACTACAATCAGGAAAATACTATATACTATAATACTATGTCCCACACATGTGCACTTGAAAACATGATGGCGACTTCCTGACTGCAAGAACAGGAGCATCTTTGTTATTTGCTGAACAAATTCACCAATTAAAACACAGCGCAGGGAATGAGCACACATGTCAATCACAAGGTAGTCCTGCCCAAAAGCATACGCTGCATTATTGTCTATTTCCCCCTAAATGGGACCATAATTTACTAAATGAACATCACGCTGTGTTGAAGAAGACTTGAAACTAGCGACTGAGACCATAAACTCATCAGGAAAGTGTTTACTGAGGGAATAAATCAGCTGAGAAGTAGACAACATTTTATTTCTAATGAGGCCGGACTTCTTTTTGCACCCAGCGGACTCGCCCCCTGCTGGCCGTTTGACAGAACGCAGGTTTAAGTTCCGTCTGCATGTTTTCATTTTCAGACCCATTGGTTGCCGCTTGATTGAGATTAGAGACATAACATTTGACAGCCACTCGTCACGTGACTACCACTCTGGTTTGGACAACGGTGCGCGCCAAGAGCTGCAAAACAACTGCAGGATGTTGAGTTTCTACTTTATTTTTTTAAATACTAATGTTTTGCACTGGCTTGTTCGGGCTAGCGAGTTGCTAGTTCAACTGTCCCGAAGTTAAATTTTTTATTGGCCCTGTGCCATCGGGCCACCGTTATTGTCGAGCCCTGCTTCCTCTTTTACATTAGAGGTAGTCATTTGCCCCATGGTTAATTAAAAAATATTGATCAGTGCTGCTTTAAATCAAAAGTGTTTTTAACTTCTGTACACATTTAATCCTGTCTCACAATTATTAACAACAGATTTTAATTCATCACGTTTGCACTGCAGTAAAAAATTAATTGACTGAACAAAAACAAGATAAGTCTAAACTACTGTTTTGTCCAAACTATTTTCTGTCAACAGAAACATATTCTTGATATCTGTCATGATCTTTAATTGAAATAAATAAAGTAATTAATCCCAGAGGTTTCCGCAAGATGTGTCTCTGAGGTTCTTTGTTTTGGGAGTGCTGGAGTCTGGCAGACAAGAAGCAGGAGGAGTTTTAAAATCCTTCATAAGATTAGAGGACGTGCTCCCGCTGAGGCATCGTGTCCGTGTTATTGGCCGCGACAGCCCCAGGCACCACGGGGGAGGGCAAATTAACGGGGGGAGCAGCTTGACAATTACTGTCTTCCTGTTTCACCGCTCACCTGCCTTCTCTGATAATGAGAGGAAAGACAAAACTTTGGGAAAACAATCAGCGCAACACGACTCGTGTTAACCTTTAACACGAAAAGAGATTCACAGTGCAAATATCTTCTTATCCCAGCAGCTATTTGGTCCTCTCGCAATTTCTACTTTGTGTTAAACTGTCTGGACAGTTTTGGGTACAATAATCCCCTTTCTGCATCTGACGTGGATCCAAATAATTGCTAAGCTGCATATTGGCAGGAATGCACAAATAGGTGGGGGGGGTACAACAGTCTCTGTGTAATTTACCCGTCAGTGTCCTGGGTCTCGCTTGCATTGGGGAGAAGAAAAGAAGGTATAAGAGCTGGAAACAAAAACCATAACAGGAAGAATAACACCAACAGGGTGAGGACGAGATGTGTCACTTTAAATTCTACACAGAACAATGACTCTGTAAAATTTCTCTATAATATGAAATGTCTGTGACAAATTAAGCAACACATCCTTTGTTATAAATTCAACAATTAAAAGCTCCGTTCGTCTGCTTCATCTGGACTGTGTTGATCTGATGCTTGATTTTTTATTTTTTTAAACGGATCTACAAGCGACATTAGATCCAAGGGATAAAAGTGAGAACATTCAAACATCCAACAAGATGTTAAAACAAAGACAGACATCAAACACACAAGATATAAATCCAACAATCTAATCTTTAAAACCCAATTTACATTAGTGCAAACTAATAAAGTTAGTAGTGGAAGAAGTATCCAGATCTTACTACTAATACCACAGTGACAAAATACTCCATTACAAGTACAAGTCCTGCATTCAAAACGTGTTTCTCTATTATATCTGATGTTTCTGGATTAATATTCCTGCTGAATTAATGTGTACGTGACATTTTACTGCTGTGCTGAGCTCATTTTAACTCTTGAGTAGTTTGATCTGCAGCAATAGGAACACTTCATCAGACGACAGACTGATAACGTAGAGACAGTAGCTCAGGCTAGCAGATATCAGTGTTCTCTGGGAATCTGACAAGAATGTCTACAAGAACTTACTGACTCCACAGATCAGAGTACAACTCATGGATAGTAATAGATTCTAATATGACGCAGCATCTAAACACCAGATAGTTGTTCTGGGTTAAGTCCAGCTGAAGATGACCTGAGAGGGAAACCTAAACCTTGCTGTGTTAAGTCTTCATCAGTCTATGAAACTTCTTCCTCACACCTGAACCTGGCTCACAATAATCTTTCAACAAATGAGCAAGACACTTAACCCCTAGTTGCTCCAGAGGCACGCGACCTCGGTTGGGTTTTGATTTGAAATTTGATAAATTATGATTATATCAGATTGCAAAAACCATCCTCCTCATTCTGAGTTTGTAACTCTTCCCTACATTTAGAGGTCCACTCCTTTGTTCCCTGTGCAATAACCCTTTCCTGCTAAATTGTTTCAGGTAACATCATAATTAGAGATTGTTTGATGTTTTTAATGTATTTACAGTGTATTTTATTTTTGTGTGTATTTGTGGTGTTTATTCTGATGCTTGTATGTTTTATCTTGTGCCCTGACTGCAAGTCAAGTTTCCCATTTGGGATAACAACAAATGGACCAATTATCCTGGCAGATAAGAGACACTTTGATGGACTGTAATATGCTCACTGCAGATCAGTCAGGAGCTGAAATTAGGAACCGAGAAGCAGAATCCAAATCCACGGTTCTTAGAAATTTGGTACCGTTTCCAACTTGGAACCGGTTCTTGATGCCCGCCACTAGTTGATGGAAGAAAAACATTTATTTCGGTCAACTTGCAACAACCTGTACACATCTGCGTCCATCTCATCCGTAATTCTTCTGTCGCTATTTGTCAGCACCGAGAGATGAAGTCCACCAAACCTATTTGTTGCAGGCAGCGATTCAGAGGTCTGGAAGCGGGCTAGCTCAACAATGGGTCACCAGAAAATACATTTTTAAAAACTTTCTGATACGTCAGATCGAATTTTATTGACAGCCTAATGAGATCCTGACTTTCGTACTCTTAAATTCTGATTTAAGAAAACCTGAAAATGCCCGCCCAACCCGGCGAGAAGAGCACAGACAGAATCTTAAAACAGAAGTATTTCATGCTAAGTAACCAGTATTGTTTAGATACTCTGGCACACAGTAGCTCATCATCAGAGTGATCAAGTAATCAAAAAAAAATCAGTACGCTTTCCTCCTTAAATAAGCAGAAGTCTTAAGCAAACTTTGAATCCGGCCCGTCAAACTCTCAAAACATTTTGTAGGTGAAGTGTCGCCATCAGTCTAAACGCTTCTATATTTATCATTTAGAAACCTCTATTATGAGAAACATGTTGAGCTTGTTTGTGTCAGGAGTGACTGACACCAGTAAAATGTGCCGTCGCTGCAATGCTTCCTCTGCAGATGACTTGAGGGAGTGACGGATGGAAGAAGTTTTAGTCACACATCCATCAGATTTGACAGTTTTTTTATCTTCAATTTAACCTGAAACCCTGGAACTATTATTCTTGAGTGATGGAAAAAGATTCAGTGATTTTCTTTTGTTTTTGAGAAGAACTGGTAAATCCCTAATTTCCTAACATGTTCTTCATCAAGACCATCATCACTGAATATAGATGCGGAACGTAGCTGTTCATATTATCTCTTGAAAAGCCGACTTCTAGTTTTATTTCTCAACATTTCTCAGCACTTTGTCATTTTTGTTTCTCTAAAACTTTTTATTAGGAACCATGTAGTGACTTTGTTTGCTAAAACAACTCGTGCTTTTATGTTGCAAGTGAAGCCCCCAAAATAATAATTATTTAGTGGATAATGCAGCAATTCCTTTTATTATTGTGTATATAAAGAAAAAAACATATTGCCGTCCCTTCTGCTTCTCCCGAACAGCAGAGCAAGAAAGAAATCTCTGCTTTTCTATCCTGTCTCGTTAGTCGCAGCACGAAACATTCGCCTGCGGCTGCTTCTGACTCAATCCAAATGACAAGCAGCCTCTTATCTGCTCAAACGGCTGTCCATGCCAAACAATCTGCTCATTTAAAATGTAATGAAATTACCGAAGCTCGGTGGACTGTCCCGTCGCCGCGGTGGCCACGGTGAAGATTTGATTACACTTTAGCGTCCCAGTTCTCATCTGCTCACTCAAGCCATTTCATGCTCTGGACTTACCTGATTCCCAGCACACGGATGGATTTATACCCTGGGAGTTTGTCAAAGACGTGCTGCATCTGTAAAAGAGAAAGTACTTTTTAATGCCTGAATTAACAGTCAGGATGCCTCTCGTCGTCGTCGTCGTCGTCATCATCCTCGCTTTGCGGAAGCCAATATAATTAACTCTGAGCCATCAAACAGGAGCTTGTTAATGTCCTGGCAGGACGCCAGCGTGTCAGTATAAAAAAAGGACTGCATGAATGGGAAACCCTCGTTGATATCTATCTTTGGGCCCGTTAAGCACCTGGACTCTTATGACATAATCGTCTTTAAGGGCTCCATCAGGTAACACCCTGCTGCGAATCGCGTGCAACTCTAAATGATCCCGGTGCCTTTTTAAGAGTCTTTTAATGAGGAAATAACACCGAAGGAGTTCATTTCTCAACATGACTCCGGCTGAGTCGTAAGCTTTGAGGAGCTCGACAGAAGGCGCAAACCCTGGCACAAAGAGAGGACTGTGGGTAATCTTCTCCCTTTCACCGGTCCTGACCCAACGGCCCTCTGGTTTAAGCTTCTTAACTGTCAGGTCAGAGAGAAGAGACTCATGTGGACTGTGGCGGGTAGCGATCGACATGGTGGATCAGGAAGACCTGACGGAGGACAATACTCAGAAAATACTGCCGATACTGCTGTTAGGACCTACACAAGGTACTGATCCTACTCATATCACGCTGGGTGAGGCCCGTCCCGGTGACAACTGCTTCTGCGTCGACTCAACATGACCCAAACCTGACCCAGCGCCATGTTTGTGTGGTCCAAGGAACGAAAAGTGGTGAACTGGCGACAGGGTCACTGACGCACATGGGGAGCGAAGGTTCGATCCACCAGATGAGTTACTGTGACCTAAGACCTAATACTTTGTATGCGTGTAAGACTTTCTTAAACAAAAAAAATCAAAAAGATTCAGAATTGGAGGTGGCTGCCTTCCACGAGTTTTAGTTGGATAAGTAAGCAGCAGTGAAGTCGACAAGCTGAGATCTAGTTTCCGTTCCGTAGTGATTTAAACAGTAGGTAGTTTTCTTCAGAAACAACAGAATAAGAGTTTGTGTATAAAACCTTGATTAAAAATAGATGAACCCTAAAACATGTCCAGATCACAGAGCAAAAGTAAAAAGAGAGAAGTCCCACCTGGTCCTGCAGGTGGTGAGCCAGGTCGATGTACTGAGGGGAGTCTGGATCGTCCAGCAGCTCTCTGTAACCCGGATCCACCAGGTCGATACTGAACTCCACGATCTGCTCCACAGGACTCTCAGGGACCACGTTAGGAAGCTCCAAGTCCTTCAGGAAAACAAACATGAGTCAGCATCAAGGTAACACTAGGAAGAAGAAGAAGGTAGCGGTTTTGGTCGGACTAAGCCACCAGGACCCGCTGGTTTGTGGCCTCTGGTTTGGCATTTTGGCCGTCGCCATCTTGTTTTTTAAACCAGAAGTGACCATATTTGAACAAGAGGGTTGAGTTAGCCAGATTGGTTTGAAAGGCGCATCCGCAATTCAAGTTAACTGTGATATTAATTGGGATGCTAATTTTGGCGAGAGAAAAACAGGCTTAAAACTAACTTGCCAACTCCTGAGAGTGCGTTTTAGTACAACCGAACGCTCAACGCGACATTTTTAGGTGTCTACAATTAACGTTCATGAAGCCTCCCCTGCTTCCTGGTCTCTGTTCCTCTAAATGGGACCATAATTTACTAAATGAACATCACGCTGTGTTGAAGAAGACTTGAAACTAGCGACTGAGACCATAAACTCATCAGGAAAGTGTTTACTGAGGGAATAAATCAGCTGAGAAGGAGCCTCGTTTGCTCATAGACTTCTATACAATCACACTTTCTTTCTGCGGCCGCTGGAGTCGCCCCCTGCTGGCTGCTGGAGAGGACGCAGGTTGCATGAATGCAGCCTGTTGTCCCTTTTGTATTCTCTGGTAAAAAGCAACCAAAGACAGGAAACGTTGGTAAATATCGCAGCGGGGTGGCGATGGGGCAGTGGATAAGGCACATGCCTTTGGTGTGTTTAAGTCCTCTGACATAAATAGCTAATTGTGAGTCGCTTTGGATAAAAGCGTCGGCTACATGAGTATAACTTTATAAACACACTGTATGTTTACTGCGTCCAGTTTACTGATGTTTTTATGACTTCTGCTGCTTTTAATCGTTTTATAGACAGCAAAGAAGAAAAGTCAGATGGAAAGAAATGAACGAAAGGAAGAGAAGAGAAGGAAAAGACTTTTTTTTTAATTCAAGGTCAGCGATATTTGATTTAATATCTAGTGGGTGTAAAATATGTTCCAGCAAAATCACTCCAATCATTACATAGCGGACTGACATAGTTACACAGTGATATGTAATGGGAGGAAAAGTAGAAATGTCTCCTTAAATTAAAATACAGTCAAAACTACGTAAATGTTATTTCCACTTCTGACACCAGAACACGCAGATGACTTAAATTACATGAAACTAAATAACCCGTGATTGAAATGTCAGCCACATATTCAACATTCACTATTCAGTTTGGCTCAAGGAAGAGATGTGTGGGGTGAAAAGAGTAATAACCTGCTCTTTCACAATGAGTGACAGCAAAAAAACTCCAATTATTCTGGTAATTTCAGTCCAGCTTGGCAAAATGGCACCAGACCTGCATCTGGAACATCTTTAAAGGAATTCGATGACAAAGCACAGGAACGGCTTTTTACCTTCCCCCCCCCCCCCCCAACCCTGAACTAAAATGAACTCCTTCAGTACAAACCCAATCATTCACAGACAGGGCGAAAGCAGTAATTATCTCTGGAAAGACTCGATGCAGCGCTGCTGGAACACACGCTCGAAGCCTTGGGTGAACTTTGGAGCAGGAACAGCACCAGCTGGGCTGCCGCTCCGTAAGTCCTTGTTACCTGCAGCAGGTAAAAACTGTCCTCGCTGTTCGAAAGCTGTTAGCGAGGGACCCCTTCCTGTGTGTGGAAGGTCACACGATCAATCTTTAAAAACACTCTGAGGTGGAAGTCGAGTTACTTCTATTACTTTAACTCTGCAGCTTTTTTGTTTACTTGCACTTTTTCAAGGTTTTTGCAAAGTTGTTTTTGTTTAAGTTTCTTGTAAAACCACTCTGATGGTGCTTTTCATTTTTTAAACTCACCTCCTGACTTCCAGGCAGCCACTGGTTTCCATTCACTTCGATGTGCTATTTTTGTTTGTTTGTTTTTAAGGGGGCTTTTAGCCTTTATTTGTTTTGGACATGAAAGAGAGGGGACGACATGCAGCAGAGGGGCCGAGGGCTGGAACTGAAAACTTGCTTTAGGTCTCTATTTTAGCTTCCATCACGGAGCGGGTTAAGCTTTTAGTCCAGTTTGGTTCTGATGGTTCATTGGGTTGAAAGTTCGGCCACGGCCAATGAAGCAAGGGACTCGTTTTTGGTGTGGACTCCTTCATAAACTGCACTTCACCCACGCAGGGTTTGGTAAACGCCTCTGATCAGCACGCACTGCTGGGGAAAACGCAGTGCAGAGAGGAGTTTGTTTTTACTTTTCCTAAAAACTCACAAGGTTTCTCTTTTTCATGCTGCTCAACGATTATGTGCTGGTTATTTTCTCGATAAATTACGTAGTTACTTTTTAAAATGGCAAAGAAAGAAAGCTAATTTTTCTAGAAGCCAGATAAGCTAAATCAGCAGTCTGTTTCTCAGTAAGCCAATCAGTGCAGCTCTGCCACAAAGTGCATCAATCAATAACCCACGACAGATCCTGATGCTTCTAATCTTGTTATCAGTGTACTTGTAAACGTTTGCTGTGTGATGTAGGTCCACTTTTTTTCCCTTTTTACCAGAGGCACGTTCAATTCAGGCGGATCAGGATCCAGATGCTGATTTCACTTTTCAACACATTATACTAAAAACTTTAAAAGGATATTCAAGGATGATAAAGAGAAGTTAATGAGATGATGATAGTGGCCACAGGACCACGATAATTTCTACGGATGTTGATTAGAAGTTAATGTTTTTCCTACGTCACCCAACCAGAAACTCTCGTGTGTTGAACTGGTGTTGTTAAACACTTTTGGGGCCGACTGACTCTGAAAGACTCACCAAAAACTGAACTGAGGAAACAACCCATAGTGCAACACTCTCTGTAGGAGACACTCTCATCCTTTAAAAACAATATCTGAGGCTGAGAATACATCATTGTCTTGTCTTTGAATTTAAGACAACCCCCGCTCTTTCAAGCGTAATTTCCAGCTCACAGTCTGAAAACATTAAAGGAGACTTATTATTATACCGCTTTTCCCAGTCCTGTATTGTGGTTCTGTGACTCCTGTATGGCAGCTTTGCATGATCCAAAGTTCATAAAAATATATTTTTCTGTCTTATATTGGCCCTTCATGTAGGCCTTAATTTCAGCCTCTGTCTGAAACAAGCTGTAGATGCTCCTGTCTCTTTAAGCGCCCCCCCTTCTGATTGGCCAAGACCTGAAGCATGTAACCAGGCTGTTGTTGTGGCTGGAAGTTGGGATCTAATGTAAAGTCATGTAAAGAAACTGTATGTGATTTTTAGATACAGGTCTAAAACACGCAAAACACTATGAAAAAAAAAAAAAAAAATGCTCCCAGCATGACGGCAACAGGTCTGTGACCTCCTAAGAGACGACGATGAGCTGAGAAAACCAGGAAAAGGTGAGTGGATGAAAACCTTTATCTGGTCAGCAGTCAAAAGTTCAATTATTTGTGGCCATAAGCATTAGTTTGAAAGAAGAAGACAGATGAACATAGTGCATACATGGCTGATTTCTATTCATATAAAAATGTACACAGCTAATTTAACTCCTACGGATGTATAATTTCAGGAGTACTTGTTCTTGAGTGTCACATTTCCAGGAGCTGCTCTGTTAAAACCTCCTCATCAAGCTGACGTCGCCTTTTGACTTGACTGTAGATAATAGTGTCGACTAAATACATAAAATGTAAATGTAAGTGGTTGTTCATACCTCCTCGAGCTCCTCTGCTGGCTGGGTCAGATCGAGGGCGGGGCTTGGAGAGGCTCTCGCAGGGCTGAGGAGGACGGTGGTGCTCGTGGCGGAAGCCGGTGGGGCCGCTGTCGGGGCGACGGTCTGAACCTCTGCACCTGACGTAACATCAGAGTGACTTTAATCACAGAGCGAATGAGCAGGAATACTGTGAGTCAAGCTGTCTGCAGAGTTTATTCATTCATCTGTCCGGACGCAGAAAGGCACCGGGTCCATTTAAAGTTAAACAACTCACTTCAACACCAATAAAAAAAAAGTGTTTGTCGACGGCCAAAATGCCAAACTAGAGGCTCATGATGGCTCGGCGAAGAATCTCTAACTTAACTCTAACTGGAGTGAAAGTAAGAAGTGACAAGGAAGGATGAAGCAAGTAAGACGGGAGCTGGGTTGAGGTTTAAAGAGAGGTTTAATATGACGCAGCATAATCTAAAGTTTAATCATGATTTAATCGGGTTTAGAAATTAAACCTTGTTGGAGCAACCTCTGAACTAAAGGAAACCCAAAAGTCAATAAACATGTCACAGTTCATGGACAAAACGATCATTTCAACACATCTTACATGTCCAACTGCAGCAGATAATAAGAATTCAATACTAACACTGGAATGACATAATTGATGTAAAAACAGTGTTGGTGTCAGATAATTACACATTTTCTACCTGCTATCTCAGGGATCGTCTGTTTCGGTGTCACCACTCTGCAGAAGAAGCAAAAAAAGAACAAAATATCAATAATTTCAGACTTTATGAAACACATGCATGGGCTGGAAAGAAAAAAAAAAAAGATACAGAGCTGTGTCTTTTTCAATATCACTGTCATCCCTTTTATGAATATATCTATTCAAGTGTGTATCTTGAGGATTTTGCTTGATTGGTTGACCACGAGCTCACTATCAACCTTGCCCTTCATCGTGCTAACCACTGGTAGAGGATCAGACAACATCAGTCATCTCACCACAGGAACAATTAGGGATGCACCGATCCAAAACTGACTCACATAGCTGCAAGGGTGCTGCAATCATTAGCCTGACTATTCAATTCAGTGATGTGCATACTATACGATGCGTCAGCCGTACGCCGGTAGACCTGAACATTTTGTTTTAATGCAAGTCGATGTTGCCTTACATGTAAAAGAATGATTCCTCACAGTGAAGAATACATCTTTTTCATTTTACACTGGTATCGGATCGGTACTCTGCATATCGGTACTTGGTATTGGGACTAAAAAAGTCAGATCAAGCATCCCTAAAAACGACATACGCTTGATTTGACGTGACAAAGACCTGTAGAGGTCGTCGGTCTGGAGGAGGACATAAGTGTGGCTTTATTATAGAAGAACAAAGTCCACCGAGGGAGGAGGGAATTTTTACTATTTTAATATGTAAAGGAAGTCCTGGTGCACAGTGTACAGCTGTGGGCTCCTTTCAAAATCCACTCCTGCCAACCCGGACTGAGTAGCTCAATTCAAGCACAAGTAGCCGGCTGTTTAAAAACGATATAATATTCTTTGTGTGGTTCATCAACCGTGATAAATTAGCCAAAAAGTCCCGCGAGGTGCGGGCAACTCGGCACAACACCGGTGAAGCTGGGGCTCCGTCTCTTCTGCAAGTGTTCCTCTCCTGCTACAGCACACATGTGCACTGACGCTCCAGGGTTAGGGTTACAATTTTGGATTTATTCACGCACTTTAAAAAACGTTTATTGAAAGTTTTATTCTTTTTACAGGTTTATTTACAGCATTAAACATTGAAATGTGTCTTGTAAAAGGCTTATTGTCAGAAAACTGGTAGATTATGTAAAATTGAGCACCCCCATATCACCAAAATGATCATGATCCTTGTTTCGCTGTGAGATTGACAGTCGAATCAGGCTCCGCCCATCGAAGCATTGAATCTTCGACTAATCGGGGTCAGTCCTAATTATTTCCTATGTCTTTTGGACTGAACCAGTATTTCAAATGCTCATTGTTGCAGCTTTGCCATGATGAGTCTGTGTTTCTTCCATGACTTCGCTTCTCTCTGCTGCACTGCTTGTGAAACTCTGTCCTTTCAGTGCAACACACACCGACGTAACGTAGTGTCGCGACTAGATGCCAGTTTGTGGGATTTTACAAAAACAACACACGAAAAAAAAAAAAGGTGCAGATGTGTTGATGCACGTCACACGCCGCTGGCTACAGTGCCTTAATTAAGAAGCGAAATGCTCACAAAATGCGTCACACCGCATTGACTTGGTATTCACTGAAGTTATGGATGTGTTTAATTAAGCTAAATACTTGTTTCCTAACGTCGCAGCTCTTCTATGAAGAGCCACACTTGAGTGAACCGTCTTTACTGTTTGATGCTGAAGAAGTCAGCGTGAGCCGAGTGTGTGCTTCTTTTAATTTATGCTTAAATGTCCTCCAGTGAATGAGGTCAAAGAATCTGTAGGGTTTTACAGAACATGAGTGTTAAGTGACTGACTACAGAGTAAAGAGCCGAGCCGTGTGATCCAGTTGTGAGCCAGTCTGTGTTCCCACAACTCTCCAGAGTCGCATTTCAGTTTGTGAAATCACTTTGGTCAGAAATAGCGTTAGAAAAAAAGACTAGAGGCAGAAGTGACTCTCAAAAGTATAATTACAAAAGTCTGACAGGCTATCTAACTTCATATTACAGCGTATACTATGTAGGTATTTGGTATACTTTGTTAAAGTCAGATATGTTATTTACCTAATCTGTTCAGACCAAAAGAACTTGACCCCGGAACTAGGAACCTTTGGAGGAACTCACTGTTTTTCCACCGGAGGGACCAGGGTCTAAATGTAGTTCTGGGGTCTTCATTTTACCCCACTAAAAGTCCCCGCTCAGGGGGTAGTACTTTCCGACAGCATCTTGCAGTGAAATTCTAAACGGGCGAGTAGAGGCTCCTGGCTTTAAACAGAGCATGTCCGCTGTTTTTCCTACAACGGCTCCTCTCTTTTCCACCGTTGTTTGCAAACCAATAAATCACAATCAACAGTCAAATAGCCACACAAGTCTCGCCGATGTCCGCCTGAGATGGTATGTTGGCATTAAATATATTGGAAATAGCAGCCAGCGTGCAGCGGTGTGTTTACGCTAAATACTGGGTCCTGTTGTTTTAAGTTTTCACAAGTCGGGAGGTTTTTACACAGAGCCGAAGTCGGTGTCCTCCTCTCCAAAACAAGCGGACAAACAGCGGATTACAGCAGGTAGGCCTAATTAAGCTCGTTAAACATCACGTTCCTCCGATGCTCAGGCGACACAGACGTGAGTCCCACAGCTGAGCTGCAGCTCTTGTCACTGGAAACTAACCTTCCAGACTGTCGCGATTTTATTTTTGTGTTGCTTTCTCTGTGCTGGAGGTATTTTAAGAACTTTATGGCTTTATCAGGTTTGTTTGGCTACTATTAAATGTGTAACCATCTTTACCGCGTGTCTCCTCATTATACTCCCACACAAAAAAGCTGCTTTAATGGTCAAACACAGCCTGTAGTTTTTCATTATATTCCAGTCAAATCTGATGTTCATTTATAAAATGTTGGTCATGGATAGTGGTTACAAATAATGATGCCTGTGCATCGCTGTGTACAGCCAGGCCTACAGCCTACGTTAGCTGAATAATTTGCAAAATCTTCGCAGGTCTTTAGACCTCGGTGGAAACGCACACAACAGTGGGCTGAAGGAACCTTTCAGTTCCTTGAAAATAGACCTGGGGACTTAAAAGTCACTGGTACTTTTGGTTGAAGAGCGCCTTATTTGTCTACCTAATTGTGTTACTTATGCACTATTTCAGAGCTCTTCCCCCTGCAGCGTCTGTCTGTTCACTATCCCACAACCTCCTGCAGAATGTCTACTAGCCTGTTACCACAGCTGGACCTTTTCCAGGACCTCAGGAACACATTTTGCTAACTCAGTAATCTGCGTTTTGACCCGAGGGAACCAGAGTTTAAATACCAACAGCCCAGGAACTGTCATTTGTTGTCCTGTTTATTAACACAAGCTTATGTAATATGCTTCCTGTTTAAAAAGAAAAAGTTTCCAGGACTTGAGAAAAACTAAGTAAACTAAGGGAGGGTGCAGGAAATTCCCCTTCTCTCGCTCTCCCCTCCTTTCCTGTCATCTCTCAAATAAAGGCACAAGAAAATGTTTAATTAATTGATTAATCTGCTTGCTTTTGTTAAATAGAAAAAAGGATTTCCACTTTGTCTGGTTCAGTTAAAATCCCTGTATCTTGGCCGTGAGAACAAAGATAACGACCCTCGCACGGTCAGAACCAGGGCTGAACGATTAATCGTTTTCAAATCTAAATTGCAATTTGAAAGAGCGCTAATCATATCAGCTAATCGTGAAGACGGGTGATTAAAATGTAGGTTAATTATACAGCGCATCTGGCCGGTCATGCAGTTACAAAGTCCTTCTGTTGTCGACAGATCTGCTCGCCGATCACGAGCGCCATGCGCCTCCAGTTACGGTCCTACTCAGTAATCAGATTTGTCATTCTATGTGCTTCAACTACCGATAACGGCTCTCTGTGAGCCGGTTTCGCTCATAGACTGCATGTACGAAGTTTCGCTCCGCTCTTTGCACGGCTACGTCCACATGGAGCTTTTCAGAATAAGTGCGTTTTGCCTGCCTGATTTTTCTGACTTGATTTTTTGTGCTTCTTCCTAAGGGCTGGGCAGTAAATAATAATAATGATAATTATCGCAATATAATTTTCCTCAATAACAATATAACAAAGATTCAATATATCGTCAATAAATGTAGCACTTAAATTAAATTTAGGATTCGGTGGATTTTATCTCAATTGTTTTGAATGTTCTTGCTAGGATTTGTTAAGTGATCCATTATTTGGCGAGTGTTTGTCATGTTCTGACCATGAACAACAGTTTAAAACCACAACCAACCATCTGATTTCTTCAAAAAAGCAAAAATCTGTAGATATTTAATTTGAAAGAAATAATAATTTGACATTTATCGTGATAGTTATCGATATCAAATGGTATGAAATTTGTAGTCGTGATAAATTTTTTGGACATATTGCCCAGCCCTACTAGTAGCTACGTTGTTAAATAGTTTGTTTTTTGTCTGTGCTTATTGTTGATATATACGATCGGGAGTCTGCACAGGGTGTTTTATTTTGAAAATTGACCGGATTCTCTGTGTCCGACTTCCTGCTCTGTGCTGCTTGACGCTGCTTCCGTCAAACAAAGACTGAAGAAGAAGAAGAAGCAAATCGAATCGCAACATCTGGCAGAAAAATCGCAATTAGATTTTCTTCTTTCAGCCCTAGTCAGAGCTTACAGCCTTTTTAAATGGGCTCACGCTATCTGTACTGTCCGTACTCAGAGACAGGCTGAGGACACGATTATCTGTCACACCTACCGTGATGGAGGCCTCCCGTCTGTCCTCCGGTTCATCCTCTGTAAACAAACAAAAAAATAATAATAATAATTTATCGTATGTGTCAAACAAGCCATGTCAGACACTAACAAACAGTGTCCTTCTACACATTTTAACACTTAGGCAGTAATTGGCCACATGATTATCTTGTTTGTGATAATGAGGTCATGTGTCAGCGCCTGCTGCTGCTGCTGCTGCTGCTCTCGCTGCTGTTTGTTTTTAGATTGACGACTGACTGAACATCTGATTAACTGATTCCTTCACGTCTTTCTTTACACCCAGGAGCTGGGTTTGCATAAAACCAATTATGTCTAAATTACCTGTTGTGGTTTAAAAATACATTTTGCTGAGGCCGTCTCTGCGGTCTTGAGGAGCTTTACATCCCTTCAGGCCACAAAAAGCCATTAATTCTCCACAGTGTAATTTCAAAAATGAGTGTGAAATTATGAGATAAGAAAACTTTCCTCTTTGGGTTTTCTTTAAAGGGCCAATTCACCCAAATTGCACAAATTTGCTCAGACCCCCAACAATGTTCACTACGTATGGAGACAGATTTGATAAAGCAGTCAGTGGTCACTTTATTAGGCACATCTTTCTACTGCTCATTCTGATGTTTGGTCTGAACTGAAGCTCCTGATCGGGTCTGCATGCAGTGTTTCCCACACATAGACTTAACTTTTGTGGGCCGCCCCGGTACATGTGGCGACCCATTTAACCATTTTGCAGAGAAACACAGTAGGAGATCTACGAGAAGACGTGGACACGGTGGATATTTTACAAGCACGGTCCGGGTAAACAACGGCGAACAAACCAGCACAGACGTCACTCGGCAGTCTTTTCGGCTACTTTATAAAACTCACCGCTGATGGAAATGGTCTACAGAGCAGACACATTCAGGGAAAAAGAGGCGGTGTTTGCAGCCAAGGTGTAGGTGTGTGTGTGGGTAAAAAAAGAGAATTGAAGGGAACGGAAACACTAAAATAAAAGTGGAGAACGAAGTATAATTAAAATAGTTAAATAAGAAATAACCTTAGATACTAGACATAGAAATTTACCCACATCGAACAAAGCACATTAAAACATATCACATAAAACACATAATCATTTACAATGGGAATAAATCATCGATATCAAAATTTCATAAATATTTACCACAAGTAATCAACAACAAGGATCATCCGAGTAATCAATCATAACATATACAGCCAGAACTGCCAGTCATTTAAAAGTACTTCAAAAGAAGATTCAGGACATTTAGCAGCTGATTCCAAGCGCAGGGAGCCGCATACTTAAACGCCCCTTTTCCCAATTCCAATATACCTCGCCATGATTGCAACGACTCCTTAATTTTAACCAAAGTCCTTTTAGGCAAGTCACGCCACTCGGCCGCCATCTTGGCAACGCCTCCGGGCAGCCAGGCCTGATCAAAGTCTGATCAAAATCTGATCAAAGTCGCTGAAAAAAGGTTTAAAAAGCGTTTTTTCCCGACCGGTTATACTTCTGCTGCGCATGTGTCACCACTTCCACGAATGCGCAGTAGAAGAAAAACAGACCCTTACGTCAGTGGAACCACGCGATTGGCTAAATTATGTCGTTTCCCCCTTTGGCTGTTAAAAGCAGACGATTGGCTTTCTAGCCGGAGTTGTCATGGAGTTGTGTTGAGGATGTGACCGAGTGACGCGTCTCTGTTTCAACATAAAACCGTGAATCATGCTTTAGTTCACAGGACTGTGCAGAAAACAGAATGTCGACAGAAAGTGAATGTCCTGCAGATATGTTTAATATAAACATTTCCTCTTTATTCGGGGTGCACCGATCCGATTTTTTCTGTCCCGGTACCTGGGATTTGGGTATCAGCCGATGCAGAGCACCGATCAGATACTCGTGTATTGTTGATAAGCTGAATTCCTCTCTGTGAGGAAGAGACTGGGAATTAACTTCCTAACCAGCTGCTTGATTGTGCCGCCCCTTGAAACACTGACTTTGCAGATTCTGCAAGTAGCCGTAGAAACTGTTGGTACAGTATTGAACAGCACAGATCGGCACCCTTGTCACCAATACTGATCCAGCTATTTGTGCCAGTATCGGGCCGATATCGGTGTCGGATCGGTGCATCCCCAGCTTGTGTAATATCACACATTTGTTATATATATTTGTGAACATATCTGCAGGACTCGCATCTCTGTTACGTGTCTAAATGTACTGTGTGTCTGTTGACACGGTGTTGACACTGTTTTCCACAGAACGCTCTCGGAGCCCGCTGAGGTTTTCTTACCCTGTGAATCATGCTCATGTGCTCCTCGGAGCTGCTGAAGTTTTTGCCGAGGTCAGAGATGCAGAGCGACTCCTGCTGACACGTGTGAACCCATTTCTGGTACTCCGCCGTCCCGGGGATCCTGTCGAAGAAGATCCTGAACGCCTCCCACACGGCCTCCTGACAAACTGACCAAACAAACACACACCACAGCCTTTTAGACTTTCAGCCCTAAAGACAGCGCTGCCACAGAAACAATCTGCTCTACACTGTAAACTCAAGCGTAAGAAATGACAGATTCACAGTTTCGTCTGTGGGATTTCTCTGTATATTGTTCTCAGAATCTTCTATTCCTGCTGCCCCAAATTTTTTTTGTGCATTCAACTAAATCAGGCTGTTAATTTAACAAGCATGAGGTGAAAGACTTCTTTAGGAAACGTGAGTGGGAGCATTATACAGCATTATAACTTCAGGAAAAACTAAATTAAATAAATTCCTAGTTTAAAAAAGGTCTGAGCTCCGTAAGGACTTGGCTTGGAAACCGGAGGGTGTTGTTGCATGTGTATAAAGGTGCATGTGTGTTTTTTTTCTGACCTGCGTGTGGGTGGTTAATAACAACAACAGAGTGAGAAAAACACTGAATTTCCCCCTTGTGGGGTTAATAAAGTTTCTCTCTTTCTCTCTAAATTAAAAATGTCACTATTTACAAATGTAGTTTAATCTTTATCATTTATTTTAATGATAAAGTGAAAGGTAAAAGAAGACATTAGATGAGAAGAACAAATACATATAAATAGATATTTGCATATCTGTATCAGTGGAGATAAGTTTTAATCCAATAAGGAACACTGACACAGTGTGAAGCAGCACTGCAGTCATTACACGGTGTCACAGCGCTGGACGCCTACTTGTTGGACAGCAGTGTCAGTGCCTGGGGTTTTGTTTCTGCGGTGAACGAGAGGTAAGAAAACAAACCGTCGGAGCTTCACAGCTTGTCGCTTCTCTCTGTCGGAGCGTTTTGACACAAACAGACTTGTAACTGACGACCTGCGAGGAGGAGGTGAAGTGAGTCACGTCCATGACTCACTTCATCCCCTCCTGAGCGCTCACACCGAGCGGTCAGCTGGCTCAAGTGTGGCTCATGTAGCTGCAACATCCTGGAGGTCAGACCCGGTTCCACGACTACTTCATCACACATCATTTCCCTCCACTCTCTTCCTCGCCTGTTTGTCTTTCTCTGCTCTGATGAATGTTTGCTTCGTTCTTTCATTATTTCGTCTTAAAACCAAAACGGAAAAGTATTTAAGGTGTCCGATTTGCCGCAGCTTTATAAAATTGGCTCAACGTTCAGTTTGTAACTCACAAGCGACTGGAACAGGAACGCTTTCCTGAGAATCCTCCGGTTTTTAAGATTTCAAGTTAACTCTGTGATAGTTCATCCAGTGGTACACAGCAAATATGAACAGTTATTAGTTAATTCGGGGAGCTGTATATTAACGAATCATACACAAATTAAAAGGCTCAGGTAATATTCGTACAGCCTCTCTGCGCTGTTTCGATCCAACCTTTTATTTTCTGAGATGGACGAATTTGGAAGGTTGGTTGGTTGAAGGTCCACCGCCGGACAGGGAGCGTGCGCTGGAGCGTACAGGGCGAGAGCGACCTGGTGCGCTGTGGACGGTCGGTGATCCCTCCGGCTTACGCTACTGATTACACATGATCCATGACGACGGGCTACAAAAAATAGAAATGAATGGCAAAAATAGCATATTGTCGACCCCCCAGAATATTACAAATCATGTTTTCGGGGAGTTGTTAAAGGGAGTAAAGCTCCCCCTGGCTCCCCCGTAGTTAACCCTGGCCGTAGCCTCGAGAAAAAAAAACCCTCGATAAACATATTCAGGTATTTTCTTAGATCGCTCAGCTGCTTCAGATCAGCCTTGACCATATGTCAGGAGTCGGGGAGTGAGAACGGGTTGTAGGGATACAACACCGGTCAAAGACAGAACAAAACGCAGCTCCTTTGTTTTCCATTATGGGTTTAAAACAGGAAAACAAAACAGATGTCTGTTGTTTTGGTTTTGAAACTAAATAATCCACCACTATCATGTTAGGCCATGACCGTAACCAACCGAGCTTGTTTAGTATGATTTCTGAGGGTTCTGTTATCCATTTGCCTGTTCAATAGCCAGCCAGAAGAGACGCAAGACGTGGCGTGCTGACATCACACGTTGCTGTAAGTGCTGCCCTAGATGGCTATTTGAAACCAGCGGTCTTAGAGATGCCTTCACTTGAAAGTCGATTACGGTAACTGCCTTCTGTTTCCCTGTGTTGACTTCCTGTTTAGCCCTCCGCTAACTTGCTAACTATATAATAAAGATTATAATAATAATAATAATCGTGGGCTCTTCTAGACTTTCCAAACGTTATCTTTAACTTTCCTACATATAGACTTTGCTTGGACGGGCCGTCTAGTTATATAAACGGCTGACATTTGCAGAGAAACGCCACCGCCACACTGAGAGTCTGGGGAGCAGCATGCGGCAGTTCCACCCTTCGCATCATGGCACCGTGGACGATTGTGTGTCGCGGTTTCAGTTTCAGAACCGTTACAGCCCTGTTTCTAAGGTTGTTAACAAGACGTGCGTTTCCTTCCGGTTACTGACAACACTTTTAATATCAAATAAAATATCTTTCCCCTAATATCGCACACGGTGTGGAAATACATTTCAAAGCTGTATTTTATATCGTTATACTGAAGTCAAACTAACCGACTGACTCGTCATTAAGCTGAGGATAGAAGTCCGAAATGGAAGTAAAAAGTTTAATTGGGTTTTGACTAAATTGCTATAATTAAAAAAGGCCAGTAAGTTTCCCGTTGATTTCCAGCCGTACTTCTCATCATCACCTGGTAATAAAGCTGCGAGCCATAACGGTTTTGAAAGCTGTCACCGCTTTTGCATTCAACGACTCTGACATCAGAGTCAGCTGTCAAACCTTTGTGAAGCAAGAAATGACAAAACTTGACATTTTCCTTCCTTCCAAACTGTTTGTTTGTTTCTCTTCAGGGTTTGAGTTTCTAAAAAAAAATACTGCAGTATGTCAGGATGTCCTTGAGCGCAACACCACAAAAGGTTTACAAGATGGTCCCTGCTTGCAGCTGTATCTCAAACTGGATTTCATTCCACCAGACTGAAACTAAATCCATCAATCAAAACTTAATGTCGGCTTTGAAAATGTCTAGTTTAATAAATGGAGCTCGATAAAGCACAATTACATTATGTTGGCGTGTTACTACATAATAATTGTAATACTATATTACAAGTATTTGTAGTTAACTGTACTTTTTCTGCTTTGCTTCAATGCATTTCCTTGCCTGTTGTAATATTATAAATAAATGTAAATTTACTTTCTAGTCTTTTTGACCACTCAAAGCGCTTTTACTCTACATGAACTTTCGATTACCAAGCAACCCGCTCTACCTCCTGAGCCACAGCCGCCCCCGTTGTCCCTAAATAATATACTACGTACAATTTTTTTGTGTTTACTTCATATATACGTACACTTTATGTACACTCCGGGCTATTTCTGTGGATATCATCATGGATGATGGAGGAGACTGGCAGAATTTATTGGCTGTTGGTTTATAATGGTCGTGCATTTTCTGGGTAGCAGAGAGAGGGGGTCTGAGAGGAATGGTTAATGTTTGATAGCTTTTGTTTTGTGTGTCTATTGTGGTATTTGGACCGAAGTGCATTCATGGTGGTTCATCATGGGGTAGGAGTGGAGTGGGCTGGGAGGAGGGAAACAAGGGATTTTTGGAGGGGGTATAGAAACTGTTGTACTACATTTGGTGTTGGTTGCCCGGCGTCGCCTCTGTGAATGTGATGGTGCTCCGATCCAAACAAAAACAACAGAATCCTAAACTGGATTTAATTCTACCAGACTGAAAAGGAACGGAAATCTGCCCAGCGAGCGCCAGGAAATCAATCAATCAAAATCTAATGTAGGCTTTGAACATCTGTAGTTTAATAAATGCTGCGTGTTACTGTTTATGTTCGGAGGCGTCTGCCCAACGAGAGCGCATCTGTGGTCAGAAAAACACCTGTTACACACCGTGACAAGCTGAAACCCCCCCCCGCAAATATAAGAAGATGAGAATCACCGCTTTCCGTAAATACTGCTGACTAGGGGTGTGGAAAATAATACATTTTTAGATGCATCGCAAATCTGAATCGATTCACAAATGTCAATAATCAATTATCTAAACGTTAATTGATAACGTAATGTTGACAAATCGTCTGTACGGAGCACACAACGGAGACGTGTGGTTCTCCCTGCAAAATCAATGCGCAACTAACGTTAACGATTTTGACCTGCGCACTGTGCACCGCGGTAGCGCTTAGTTAGCATCCTCTCGACAAAAACAAGGGACACATAGATATATTAAGGTGGAGTAAACGTGGTTTGGCTGGAGCGTTGTAAAGTGCGTAGTTCAACCCCCACTCTATACTCAGAAAGCCTCACACAGAGGTCAGTAATAACGCTGTAATAATTTTAGCTACATTTATATGAAGAACATTAAATATCTGCATTTAATTACGACCTACTTGTTTGGATTGTTACAAATACTTTACTTTAAAAGTACCAAGTAGTCACATAGTGAGAAAAATACATCTTTATCCTATTCGTTTACAATCGCATCGTTTCCCCACCCTTGAGGTGATGCATCAAGATATCGAATCGTTGACCTGATAATCGTAATCAAATCGTGACACCAGTGAAGATGCACACCCTTACTGCTGATGTGCCCTTGAGCAAGGAAAGAATTAGGTGCTCTGGTGGCTGTAAAATACAGGAGGTTACACAGAATAAAGTACCTCTGAGCTGGTAATAAGCCTGGTGGCTGGCGAGCACTTCATTGATGGTCTCTTGGGGGCAGATTCTCACTCCGGAGTGTAAAAACACCGACCTCTTCGATCGACGTCTCGCTTCAAACTCCAAACCTTTGGACTGCGCGGACGTCTTCAGCAGCTCCACCAAACGTCCAGAGCCAACAGCCTCCGTCTTCACCCCCGAGTCCGGCCTCATGCCGCTCTCTGAACAGGAAACAGAGAGTCAGAGCAACAGATGGGTCGTGTTTACAGGAAGAAGGACAATACAGCTGATGTTGCGAGGTTTAGGCAATATTTGAAAACAGTTCTAATTGGATTTAGTGTCCTTTCTGTCACTGACAACAGAAATTACGCTTTCTATTGTAAACCCCACCCGTCTGGTGCTACAAGCAGCTCAAAACGAACAGCACAAGTATTTAGGGGATGTGTTAAAAGCATCAAACTAAAAGCAGAAGTCAATAATATGTCAATAGATGAGCCAGCTGCTTCAGCTCTGTGCAATGTGTTAATTACAGCAGTCCTTCCTGCTGCTTCTGGTAAATGTTGCATTTAATGAACAGTTGCCAGACATTTCAAACAATTAACAGATATCGTGTTTAATCAGATCTAGAACGGCAGTCTGGCATCGCTGTCACGGTGGTAAATACCAAGCCCGCCTTACACTGCCAAGAATTATGTAGAGCTGAAGCGTTTAATCGATTAGTCGATCAGCAGAAAATTCAATCTGCAACAATTTTAATATGATAATTGTTTAAGGATTTTCTGTTTTATAATGGATGGAAGTTCTGTGGTTTCCGTTGTCAGAACAAAACATGGAACTCTGGGAAACGGAGACGGGCATCCGTTCATTTAAGAGACAAAACAACTCATCTATTAATTGAGAAAATAATCTGCAGATTAAATCGATAATAATTAGTTCCAGCCCTGTTTATATAGCAATTTTTTATTTTTTTTAGTCCATCAACTGGTGTCAAACCTCTTGCAACATTTCCATATTCTAACTGTAAACCTTTTTTCCTGTGTGGTCTGTTCGTACGAGTGGTCGCTGACGAACTCGGATTTACTGAATGAACCAGATTGAGAGTGCCACCTGCTCACGAGCAGCCGCGTGTTCGTCAGGGTCGTTCACCTGCTCTGCGCCACCATTTGGAGTTTCGTTCACAAGGATGTTACCAAAAGAGTGAAAAGAAAAATTTCACGCTGAAGTCTTGTGGTTGAAAAATCAACAGACAAAAACTTAACACAGAGGCCAAGGACTTGTCATCTAGAGCTGTAAATATTAGCCGATTCATCAACCAGTCGATTGACAGAGAATTAATTGGCAACTATTTTGATAATAGACTGATCATTTTAGTTGTTTTCAAGTAGAAATTCCTATTAATTGGTTGGATACATCTTCTCAGATATGCTGACTTGTTGCTTTTCTTTGTCGTGAAAAATAAAACTAAACATTTAAAGAAATATTTTGTTCATGTTTCTACATTTAAACATCTTCTCTTCAATTTCTGTCTCTTTTGTGTGTTTACTTTGTCAAATCTGGTGGAAAAACAGATTTTTGTATTATTACTATGATTAAATTTCAATAATTTCAATAAATTATTATGGTTTATGTACTTATGGACATGTTTAGCTTAGGTTGTAGAGATTCTAGGGATATGAAGCATTTTAAGGTCACAATAAGCAAAAATACCAATGTAGGCCGGGGCAGACCGTTTCTATTGCAGAGCTCAAAGGGTTATTAATACATTATGGCTTTGGGAGAATATGGTGGCCACCGTTCACCATTTCCTGACATTTACAGACAAAAGGATTAATCAATAATTTAATAAAATAATAATTGGCAGATTAATCAATATAAAAATCATTAGTTGCAGCCCTAGTGTCATCCTACTGTGGCAATAATAAAGAGGGAACGCTTTTATATAAAATAAGAGTAGATGCTGAAAAACATCTTTAGTTGCGCTGCCAAAATATGCCAATAAATCGTAAAAATGTGTTTTAATAAGAATGTATATATTAAAGTAAACCGGCAGGCCGTGATGTGGAAGACATGGTGAACACAATATTCATTTTGCATTTTGTTTATTTGGGTTATTAGGTTTTCACAGAGGATACATTGACAACAAAGAAGTTCACAAAAAAATACATAATTACACAGTAAAATACTTTACATAAAAAAATATTATACATGATTTTTTTTTTTCTTTCAGTTCACTTTCACGTACTCTGGCTCATAACCAGCAACTCATTTTGAGTTTTATCTCCCTTTCTCTGTACTTTCTTTAATAACAGAAACCTATTCAGAGCATTTTCCAAGCTCTTCTCTCCACGAGACGACCTTGGTTACTGTACAGTGAAGTCTCGCAGAAGGAAGCACAGTGACCTTTAGATGCACAGAAACCAAAATAATAAACACTAACACATGTGTAACCTCAATTTACATCATTTACTTTCTGCCCTACACTCACTTTTTTCATTTTACGACAAAAATCACATGGATCATGATAACGCAGGGAAATAATTAACTTGCTTGGAGGATCTGTTTCTATATAAAGCTGTACGTCTCTTTCCATACATCTCCGTGTTGTTATTTGTGGACATGAGCAGAGTGGAGTAGGCATTACTGTACATTTATCTGCCTGCCAGGGTTCAGGGGTTCATTCTCCCTCCTTATGCCCACTTGTGCTAAAAATAAAAGCACTCAGTGAGCTTGAAGGGTGCTTGGAATAAGAGCAACCACCCATCAACAGCGTACTGTACGCATATGTTTTTCAATCACACAATCGAGAAGTTATATATACACACACACACAGAGGACGGTATTAGCCAAAGTGGGTGTTGTAATTCACCGGCATCCTACTTAACGATGCTTTTAGAATAAATATGCAGGATAAGAAATGTTTTGAAGTGAAGGTGAACCTCCGGTGTCACAGGCGGGATATTTGGCTTTATTTGTAATATTCAGCCGAGATTATTCAGATGTAATACAGAGAATGATAACCCCGTCTCTTTTGTCATGTTTATAAGTCTGGAGTACTGTAATTCAAATTGTCAAGTTGTCACCAAGCCGGCAATAAATCGACTAAACTGTGCCGTTATCCGTTTTCCATTTTAATTTGCATTGTGGAGATGTTTGCACAGCTCAGCGGCCCGTCATAAATACTGATTTCACTTTCGCTGTGCTTCAGAGTAAGACAAAGACAAAGGATTTACTCAACTTCTTGCTGTTTTATCATGCATTTAAACGGCCTCTTTGTCACAACACCTCAGCGATTTCACAGGCAACTACTTATGCAACCGTAATAGGCTTTGCTTTGCATTGTGACCAAGTTTAGGGTAGTCTTACTATTCAAATCCTCATATCCAACTGCTCTTATCTTCTGCCAACTTCATTCTTTCTTTCTTTTTTTGCAAAGAATAAAAAGTGTAAACGCGGGCGACACCTTTTTCAAGGATTTGGAAGTGTCAAGGCTCAAAAGGATTGTGGCTCTGCAAACAAAACAAGGCTTACCTTTAATTCCAGCAGCTTGTGGAGCGAGGACGAAGGACAGCACAAGTCCAAAAACCCACAGCATTGTGGAAGAAGAGTTCCCAAAATATGAATGTCAAAAGTAAATCCAGCAGGGTGAAGGGGAAGGCGGGGTTGGTGGCGTCCTCTAGCTCAGGTGGGGTTCATGGGGGCAGTCAGTTAAGGTTGCATATAGACGGCGGATCATTCAGGGCCCTGGGCTGTTCCTGAAAGTCTCCTGATGAATCCCAGGATGTGCATCTGATGCAGGAAGGCGTAAACTCGTAAGCCGCTGGTCGTCGTCGTCCTCCCCGGGGGAATTGTGGGACAGAGGGAGCTTGTAAGTGTGGCAAGAGTGACGAGGTTAAAAAAGTAGGCACCGTTTCGGGAATAATCTGTTTATCTACTGCTCAGACATAATCCGTCTTTACCCCGCGGCCCTCGCAGCACTGGCGTCATCCTGTTAGTGGCTTTCTGGGGGCATCTGTCAACCACGGCGACTAGTTTGTCCAGCACACACCCCCTCCTGGGCCACCCTCACACTTCAAACCGGCGTTTCCCCCGGTTATTTTATTCTTAGAAGGCCTCGGAAAAAGCAGTGTGGAGAGGATGTGACCCAATGCTCCATTGAAACCAATAAAACTCACATTACTCGACAGCGCTGACAGCTCCTGTAAAGCACACAGCTTGTAGCTATCCAGTAAAATCACATCCTCACCTCATCACCAGTCTCCCAGTCGGTAGCGGTCTGGGCGGTCCTAACCAGTACCGACTGTCACGCACATCAGCCTGGAGGCTGAAACACGTCCGTTCAGATTGAAGGTGACCTGGCCATTATATTTTTATCCTTCTGATTTATCTTGTATCCTTAAGTTTTGTCACTGGAATAACTGCTTTTATTAATCTGAGCCACTTTTTTGTACAATTTTTCAATCTCAAATCTGCGCGTATGATCCTGCAGTAATTTCTTGGTGACACTGATGCACCACAAACTTTGACATTGCAGGAATAAATGAATACTTAAACCCTCTGTTGACTGTACTTTCCTGCTTTTGTTTCAAATACCATAAGTCCAAAAGCTTATGCCATCTCAGGCTTTAACTCCCGGGAGAGGCCTCAGATGTTTGAAACCTTTCAAGATAAATCTGGCTCTTATAGTATGTATGAAAAAAGGGATTAGTTTTTTTTAGATCCGAGTCCTAAAGAAATGTATGGTATTGCACCCATGGAGCACCTTGTAACTCTGCAGAATAAAAGTTTACCAACTACAAATAAGTAATTCTACTAAATGCATTTCTTTCTCTAAGCTGTCAGTATCTTAGGTGTCATGTTACACAACCCAACCCTCCAAATAATCTGACTTTATATTGAATTTCCTGCATAATGTCTTTGTTTCCTTCTTCTTTTCACGGTTCATTTAAATTTATTATTTTCCTTTTTTCTGCAGCAATGGCCTCATTTAAGGAGGAACATTTTATTAAGGTTTAATGTGACAATATATTTCGTCAAATAGATTTATCTTTGTTTAGACCATAAAAAAAAAGTAAAAAAGGCCATAAGAATTTCCCAAAGTCCAAGTTTTAGCTTGTTTTCTTCTATTCTAACAACAGATTTTCATATTTGAGAAGCTCTGGCATTTGTACAACAATGTAAGCTCTGGCTTATTTTCCTGTAACTCAACTCATCGACTAATTGA